GTGTATAGAGAGGGAACTGGAGTGTGTTCGTGTGTGGGGTATGTGTAGTGTATAGAGAAGGAACTGGAGTGTGTTGGTGTATGGGGTATGTGTAGTGTATAGAGAGGGAAGTGGAGTGTGTTGGTGTATGGGGTATGTGTAGTGTATAGAGAGGGAACTGGAGTGTGTTGGTGTATGGGGTATGTGTAGTGTACAGAGAGGGAAGTGGAGTGTGTTGGTGTATGGGGTATGAGTAGTGTACAGAGAGGGAACTAGAGTGTGTTGGTGTATGGGGTATGTGTAGTGTATAGAGAGGGAAGTGGGTTGTGTTGGTGTATGGGGTATGTGTAGTGTATAGAGAGGGAACTGGAGTGTGTTGGTGTATTGGGTATGAGTAGTGTACAGAGAGGGAACTGGAGTGTGTTGGTGTATTGGGTATGAGTAGTGTACAGAGAGGGAAGTGGAGTGTGTTGGTGTTTTGGGTATGTGTAGTGTATAGAGAGGGAACTAGAGTGTGTTGGTGTATGGGGTATGTGTAGTGTATAGAGAGGGAACTAGAGTGTGTTGGTGTTTTGGGTATGTGTAGTGTATAGAGAAGGAAGTGGAGTGTGTTGGTGTTTGGGGTATGTGTAGTGTACAGAGAGGGAACTGGAGCGTGTTGGTGTTTTGGGTATGTGTAGTGTATAGAGAGGGAACTGGTGTACGGGGTATGTGTTGTGTAGAGAGAGGGAACTGGAGTGTGCTGGTGTATGGGGTATGTGTAGTGTATAGAGAGGGAAGTTGGGTGTGTTGGTGTATGGGGTATGTGTAGTGTATAGAGAGGGGAACTGGAGTGTGTTGGTGTATGGGGTATGTGTAGTGTATAGAGAGGGAAGTGGAGTGTGTTGGTGTATAGGGTATGTGTAGTGTATAGAGAGGGAAGTGGAGTGTGTTGGTGTTTTGGGTATGTGTAGTGTACAGAGAGGGAACTGGAGTGTGTTGGTGTATGGGGTATGTTTAGTGTAGAGAGAGGGAACTGGAGTGTGTTGGTGTATGGGGTATGTGTAGTGTATAGAGAGGGGAAGTGGATTGTGTTGGTGTATGGGGTATGTGTAGTGTATAGAGAGGGAAGTGGAGTGTGTTGGTGTATGGGGTATGAGTAGTGTACAGAGATGGAACTGGAGTATGTTGGTGTTTGGGGTATGTGTAGTGTATAGAGAGGGAAGTGGAGTGTGTTGGTGTATAGGGTATGTGTAGTGTATAGAGAGGGAACTGGAGTGTGTTGGTGTTTTGGGTATGTGTACTGTAGACAGAGGGAACTGGAGTGTGTTGGTGTATGGGGTATGTGTAGTGTACAGAGAGGGAAGTGGAGTGTGTTGGTGTTTTGGGTATGTGTAGTGTATAGAGAGGGAACTGGAGTGTGTTGGTGTACGAGGTATGTGTAGTGTAGAGAGAGGGAAGTGGAGTGTGTTGGTGTTTTGGGTATGTGTAGTGTACAGAGAGGGAACTGGAGTGTGTTGGTGTATGGGGTATGTGTAGTGTATAGAGAGGGAACTGGAGTGTGTTCGTGTGTGGGGTATGTGTAGTGTATAGAGAAGGAACTGGAGTGTGTTGGTGTATGGGGTATGTGTAGTGTATAGAGAGGGAAGTGGAGTGTGTTGGTGTACGGGGTATGTGTAGTCTATAGAGAGGGAAGTGGAGTGTGTTGGTGTATGGGGTACAAGTAGTGTATAGAGAGGGAAGTGGAGTGTGTTGGTGTTTGGGGTATGTGTAGTGTACAGAGAGGGAACTGGAGCGTGTTGGTGTTTTGGGTATGTGTAGTGTATAGAGAGGGAACTGGTGTACGGGGTATGTGTTGTGTAGAGAGAGGGAACTGGAGTGTGCTGGTGTATGGGGTATGTGTAGTGTATAGAGAGGGAAGTTGGGTGTGTTGGTGTATGGGGTATGTGTAGTGTATAGAGAGGGGAACTGGAGTGTGTTGGTGTATGGGGTATGTGTAGTGTATAGAGAGGGAAGTGGAGTGTGTTGGTGTATAGGGTATGTGTAGTGTATAGAGAGGGAAGTGGAGTGTGTTGGTGTTTTGGGTATGTGTAGTGTACAGAGAGGGAACTGGAGTGTGTTGGTGTATGGGGTATGTTTAGTGTAGAGAGAGGGAACTGGAGTGTGTTGGTGTATGGGGTATGTGTAGTGTATAGAGAGGGGAAGTGGATTGTGTTGGTGTTTGGGGTATGTGTAGTGTATAGAGAGGGAAGTGGAGTGTGTTGGTGTATGGGTATGAGTAGTGTACAGAGATGGAACTGGAGTATGTTGGTGTTTGGGGTATGTGTAGTGTATAGAGAGGGAAGTGGAGTGTGTTGGTGTATAGGGTATGTGTAGTGTATAGAGAGGGAACTGGAGTGTGTTGGTGTTTTGGGTATGTGTACTGTAGACAGAGGGAACTGGAGTGTGTTGGTGTATGGGGTATGTGTAGTGTACAGAGAGGGAAGTGGAGTGTGTTGGTGTTTTGGGTATGTGTAGTGTATAGAGAGGGAACTGGAGTGTGTTGGTGTACGAGGTATGTGTAGTGTAGAGAGAGGGAAGTGGAGTGTGTTGGTGTTTTGGGTATGTGTAGTGTACAGAGAGGGAACTGGAGTGTGTTGGTGTATGGGGTATGTGTAGTGTATAGAGAGGGAACTGGAGTGTGTTCGTGTGTGGGGTATGTGTAGTGTATAGAGAAGGAACTGGAGTGTGTTGGTGTATGGGGTATGTGTAGTGTATAGAGAGGGAAGTGGAGTGTGTTGGTGTATGGGGTATGTGTAGTGTATAGAGAGGGAAGTGGAGTGTGTTGGTGTATGGGGTATGTGTAGTGTACAGAGAGGGAACTAGAGTGTGTTGGTGTACGGGGTATGTGTAGTCTATAGAGAGGGAAGTGGAGTGTGTTGGTGTATGGGGTACAAGTAGTGTATAGAGAGGGAAGTGGAGTGTGTTGGTGTATGGGGTATGAGTAGTGTACAGAGAGGAAAGTGGGGTGTGTTGGTGTATGGGGTATGTGTAGTGTATAGAGAGGGAACTGGAGTGTGTTCGTGTGTGGGGTATGTGTAGTGTATAGAGAAGGAACTGGAGTGTGTTGGTGTATGGGGTATGTGTAGTGTATAGAGAGGGAACTGGAGTGTGTTGGTGTATGGGGTATGTGTAGTGTATAGAGAGGGAACTGGAGTGTGTTGGTGTATGGGGTATGTGTAGTGTACAGAGAGGGAAGTGGAGTGTGTTGGTGTATGGGGTATGAGTAGTGTATAGAGAGGGAACTAGAGTGTGTTGGTGTATGGGGTATGTGTAGTGTATAGAGAGGGAAGTGGAGTGTGTTGGTGTATGGGGTATGTGTAGTGTATAGAGAGGGAAGTTGGGTGTGTTGGTGTATTGCGTATGAGTAGAGTACAGAGAGGGAAGTGGAGTGTGTTGGTGTATGGGGTATGTGTAGTGTATAGAGAGGGAACTGGAGTGTGTTGGTGTATTGGGTATGAGTAGTGTACAGAGAGGGAACTGGAGTGTGTTGGTGTATTGGGTATGAGTAGTGTACAGAGAGGGAAGTGGAGTGTGTTGGTGTATGGGGTATGTGTAGTGTATAGAGAGGGAAGTGGAGTGTGTTGGTGTTTTGGGTATGTGTAGTGTAAAGAGAGGGAACTAGAGTGTGTTGGTGTATGGGGTATGTGTAGTGTATAGAGAGGGAACTAGAGTGTGTTGGTGTTTTGGGTATGTGTAGTGTATAGAGAGGGAAGTGGAGTGTGTTGGTGTATGGGGTATGTGTAGTGTATAGAGAGGGGAACTAGAGTGTGTTGGTGTTTTGGGTATGTGTAGTGTATAGAGAGGGAAGTGGAGTGTGTTGGTGTATAGGGTATGTGTAGTGTATAGAGAGGGAACTGGAGTGTGTTGGTGTACGAGGTATGTGTAGTGTAGAGAGAGGGAAGTGGAGTGTGTTGGTGTTTTGGGTATGTGTAGTGTACAGAGAGGGAACTGGAGTGTGTTGGTGTATGGGGTATGTGTAGTGTATAGAGAGGGAAGTGGAGTGTGTTGGTGTACGGGGTATGTGTAGTGTTGAGAGAGGGAACTGGAGTGTGTTGGTGTACGGGGTATGTGTAGTGTAGAGAGAGGGAACTGGAGCGCGTTGGTGTATGGGGTATGTGTAGTGTAGAGAGAGGGAACTGGAGCGTGTTGGTGTATGGGGTATGTGTAGTGTATAGAGAGGGAACTGGAGTGTGTTGGTGTATGGGGTATGTGTTGTGTAGAGAGAGGGAACTAGAGTGTGTTGGTGTTTTGGGTATGTGTAGTGTACAGAGATGGAACTGGAGTATGTTGGTGTTTGGGGTATGTGTAGTGTAGAGAGAGGGAACTAGAGTGTGTTGGTGTATGGGGTATGAGTAGTGTATAGAGAGGGAAGTGGAGTGTGTTGGTGTACGGGGTATGTGTTGTGTAGAGAGAGGGAACTGGAGTGTGTTGGTGTATGGGGTATGTGTAGTGTATAGAGAGGGAAGTGGAGTGTGTTGGTGTTTGGGGTATGTGTAGTGTACAGAGAGGGAAGTGGAGTGTGTTGGTGTATGGGGTATGTGTAGTGTATAGAGAGGGAAGTGGAGTGTGTTGGTGTTTTGGGTATGTGTAGTGTAGAGAGAGGGAAGTGGAGTGTGTAGGTGTACGGGGTATGTGTAGTGTAGAGAGAGGGAACTGGAGTGTGTTGGTGTTTTGGGTATGTGTAGTGTAGAGAGAGGGAACTGGAGCGTGTTGGTGTATGGGGTATGTGTAGTGTACAGAGAGGGAACTAGAGTGTGTTGGTGTTTTGGGTATGTGTAGTGTATAGAGAGGGAAGTGGAGTGTGTTGGTGTTTGGGGTATGTGTAGTGTATAGAGAGGGAAGTGGAGTGTGTTGGTGTTTTGGGTATGTGTAGTGTACAGAGAGGGAAGTGGAGTGTGTTGGTGTATATGCAGCCTGGTGTAGAGACCAGAGTTATAGTCCACAGAGAGTAGAAGTTAAGTAGTATATGGAGAGTTTACAGTGACTTTAGGGGAATGTACCTGGGTCACAGTGTGAGTGGGGGACGACGAACACCTGCAGCTGGTTGGTAGGTGACCACTGATTGGCATCATAGCTGATGTCCCAGCCCTGCTTCCACACTCCGCCATCAGGATTATCAAATGGCAGGAGCTCAAAGATGTCATGCATCTGCAAACCACAAGGCATTTTGTTCACTGCTTGTAACTTAAATCTCAAATAATTTCTTGATTTCTAGCTATGACTACTGACAAGCACACAACTGTGAGGTGGGGTAATGGTGTTCAGGCAGCTGTGAGGACTACTGACAAGCACACAACTGTGAGGTGGGGTAGTGGTGTTCAGGCAGCAGTGAGGACTACTGACAAGCACACAACTGTGAGGTGGGGTAGTGGTGTTCAGGCAGCTGTGAGGACTACTGACAAGCACACAACTGTGAGGTGGGGTAGTGGCGTTCAGGCAGCAGTGAGGACTACTGACAAGCACACAACTGTGAGGTGGGGTAGTGGTGTTCAGGCAGCTGTGAGGACTACTGACAAGCACACAACTGTGAGGTGGGGTAGTGGTGTTCAGGCAGCAGTGAGGACTACTGACAAGCACACAACTGTGAGGTGGGGTAGTGGTGTTCAGACCAGCAGTGAGGACTACTGACAAGCACACAACTATGAGGTCGGGTAGTGGTGTTCAGGCAGCAGTGAGGACCACTGACAAGCACACAACTGTGAGGTGGGGTAGTGGTGTTCAGACCAGCAGTGAGGACTACTGACAAGCACACAACTGTGAGGTGGGGTAGTGGTGTTCAGGCAGCAGTGAGGACTACTGACAAGCACACAACTGTGAGGTGGGGTAGTGGTGTTCAGGCAGCAGAGAGGACTACTGACAAGCACACAACTGTGAGGTGGGGTAGTGGTGTTCAGACCAGCAGTGAGGACTACTGACAAGCACACAACTATGAGGTGGGGTAGTGGTGTTCAGGCAGCAGTGAGGACTACTGACAAGCACACAACTGTGAGGTGGGGTAGTGGTGTTCAGGCAGCAGTGAGGACTACTGACAAGCGCACAACTGTGAGGTGGGGTAGTGGTGTTCAGGCAGCAGTGAGGACTACTGACAAGCACACAACTATGAGGTCGGGTAGTGGTGTTCAGGCAGCAGTGAGGACCACTGACAAGCACACAACTGTGAGGTGGGGTAGTGGTGTTCAGACCAGCAGTGAGGACTACTGACAAGCACACAACTGTGAGGTGGGGTAGTGGTGTTCAGGCAGCAGTGAGGACTACTGACAAGCACACAACTGTGAGGTGGGGTAGTGGTGTTCAGGCAGCAGTGAGGACTACTGACAAGCACACAACTGTGAGGTGGGGTAGTGGTGTTCAGACCAGCAGTGAGGACTACTGACAAGCACACAACTATGAGGTGGGGTAGTGGTGTTCAGGCAGCAGTGAGGACTACTGACAAGCACACAACTGTGAGGTGGGGTAGTGGTGTTCAGGCAGCAGTGAGGACTACTGACAAGCACACAACTGTGAGGTGGGGTAGTGGTGTTCAGGCAGCAGTGAGGACTACTGACAAGCACACAACTGTGAGGTGGGGTAGTGGTGTTCAGGCAGCAGTGAGGACTACTGACAAGCACACAACTGTGAGGTTGGGTAGTGGTGTTCAGGCAGCAGTGAGGACTACTGACAAGCACACAACTGTGAGGTGGGGTAGTGGTGTTCAGGCAGCAGTGAGGACTACTGACAAGCACACAACTGTGAGGTGGGGTAGTGGTGTTCAGGCCAGCAGTGAGGACTACTGACAAGCACACAACTGTGAGGTGGGGTAGTGGTGTTCAGACCAGCAGTGAGGACTACTGACAAGCACACAACTGTGAGGTGGGGTAGTGGTGTTCAGGCAGCAGTGAGGACTACTGACAAGCACACAACTGTGAGGTGGGGTAGTGGTGTTCAGGCAGCAGTGAGGACTACTGACAAGCACACAACTGTGAGGTGGGGTAGTGGTGTTCAGCCAGCAGCCATGACTTGAAGTTTCATGTAACTCAAGACAACAATTAAGGTGTTGTAACAATCCTAATCAGTGACCTCTAAAAAGCAGATAACTCCTGACTCATACTAATTGCTTATCTCATCTCATTCCGAAAAGGTAGTGGGGACTTCTGTGATGTGTTCCCAAGAACAGAAAAAAAAAAAATCTCACCCGAACACAACCCTAAGACGTGCAGACACACTGGTAAACCTGTCACTCTCTCATTTCACTTACCCTCACAGTTGAAACACAGATACTGGAAGTGGGGATGGCTGGCTGGGTGCTATAGCATATGATTCAGGATAAGTATAGATGATATTTTTACCCTAAAAAACACATATTTTTTTCTGATCCTGACTCAATCTAATTGCTTGAATCTCACCGTCTGCATGAGTCAGATTGTGATCTGTTCAATTAGCCCCATGGGAACTTCTTCTTCATCCTCTTGGACATTCATCTGTAGTGGGGCACCACCTCCGTACTTGTGAGGGTAGGAGAAAATCAAGAGATTTTATGGATTTTGTAAGCACGCATAGAAAAATATTCCAGCTTACTTAGAACGATTCTTGTGTTAAGAAAAGGTCATAATCTTGACACAATCGTTTTCACTCCTTGGCTGGATCTACGAAGAGCTAGGAAGCTGCAGCAGCCCTGGCTGAGTATCCTCATCTGGTGAGGATGTTTGTGATATGCTCCATATGTTAAGCTCGAAGAAGTTGGGGTTTGGATAAATCTGTCTTGATTGAGGATGAAGTAGGTTTGACCAATTTGGAAGTTTTAGAACCGGATTCCACACTAGGGTGATGAGGTCTGGAAGACAGGTTCTCGCCAGACAATAAGGTGCGACCAAAAGCAGTAGAAGTCACTCTGTGTGTCTGATCTTCTGTAGGTGTCACCAGCTCGTAAAACCAATCTAGTCACGGTCTAGTGACCACACCGCTTCTCGCTCTTATTGTCCGGCTTCCATCACCATTTGGCAAAGTCAGGTGGTTGTGGTGATCCAGTGTCTTTACATCCATTGTTTGAGAATTGGTAACCAGTAAATTTTACTCTCTAACAGCTTATTTCCACACTTTTATCAGGTATTGATTTGATATATGTTATTGCATAGATGTTTGATATTTTATTCATGTATTTAAAATATTTTTGTGACTTTGATTTTCACGCATTAGCAGGATCAACTCTTAGTCTTGGTCCACTGGTCCTTATAATGATAACATATAGCAAAACCCTTAATAATGGCAAATTTCTACAAGTCCTTATGATTCCTTAACTATTGGGCAGTTTGGCAAGGACTACAGTACTAGTGTCAATTTCTACCGCTGCTTAGTTGTTAATTGGTCTCAGTCAACGTTCTTGACTGTTTTAGCTACTCTCATACACTTTGTATTTGTTCTAACATAATTCATCATTGTCGTAAATTGGGGTTTTGATCCTTCATATTGTCCTCTATTGAGACAATTAGTTGATAGTAATAAACCTGTGAACCCATTACCACGTTTTCATTATTACTTTATTCTTGTTTAAAGACACCCTGGTGTCTGGAGCACAGCTCTCTGACGAGATGGTCTCGCCAAAGTTAGATGGTCTGGAACTGAGGAGACTAAAGTTCCTATTTCATTGTTGAATCTGGCTCAAACAGGTCCACTGACAGGCAATCTCCTTGCTTTATCGCCAGCTGGAATGTTTCTGGTTGAAGCATCCATTCTATTGGAGATGGTTTAGATGGCTTTTCTAGGGCATTGGCTGGCATGTCCCGTTATGTGTCTTGCCTAGATTTATGCTGTCTGTGAGACGAAATAGTTGAAATGTTAACCTCAATAGGGTAACTGAGTTTGTCAACCCTTATGTAGAGATTTATGTAGAAGGCCACTGTCGAATTGTTCCTTCTGATCATCAGAAACTGGGTTTTCAGTCAAGGGGCCCAATGGGATATAGCCCAGATCACTGCCTCAAACTCCTGTTGATTTATTTGGAGGAGCTCCTCTTCAGCTGACCATAGCCCTGCAGCTGCCTCGGAGTCAAGGTGTGCTCCCCAGCCTGTGGGGACGCATCCACATACAGGTGAAGGTGAAAACCATCTCCTTCAAAAAGGTTCCTCTGCAGACACTTGACTTGCTTGTCCACCAGTGAAGGTATTTCAAGAGACGAGGTGGTCATGGAAGTCTGAGATCTTGATGGTCCAGGAAAGAGGTTAGGAACCTCTGGGTCGGAAGAAGTTGTAGCCTGCCCCTCGTTGTGAGTGCTTGGGCCGATGTGACAAGGCCAAACAGAACTTGCCATTGATTGACAGAGATCTGTTTGTGCATAGATGCTGGCAAACAGTTTTGGATTTTTCCAGTGACCTACATGGGACTAGAATTCAATTCTGTTGTGTTAGGAATCGGATCCCAAGAAACTTTAGATCCATGAGTTGGTTGAACATCAGATTTCTGATAATTGATGAGCCATTTACCATGGATTAATAATTTCAGAGTGAAGTTCAACTGCTGTCGTAGTCGGCTTGTCAAAAATTGAGGTAGATTGCATCCTGAATTTTTCAGACTTGTGTCAATAATACTTGTTGAATATTTTCATGTTGTAGATCACTCTGAATTTTTTGGTTGAATTTTTCCTGGGTACCAAAAACATCTGAGAATAGAACTCCGGAGCGGGGACATCCTGCATCATAACCTCTACTGCTCCCTTGGTGATAAGTGAATCTATTTCCTCTGTTAATTTAGGGAGCAGTAGCTCTGTGTATTGTACCTGTGGAGAGGTGAGGGTAAGAGGGGGTGCTGTAGGTACCAACAGACTGTAGCCTTTCTTTAAAATGTATGTGATGAATGAGTCATCTAAGATGTCCCAATTTCTCCACTATGTTTGACTGCTGTACTTGAAAGGTTGGTACCGGAGAACCCAACAGCCCAAGAGCACCTCTTCATTGTTAGGGATGGCCTCCTCAGGAGCCGCCACCATGGCCAGACTAATCTCGGGATTTCTTTTATGGCTTATGAAAAGATGCCGTCTTTTGTCCTCTGTAGGCGGAGAATTTCTTGTCCTTAGCCTTATGTATTTCCGAGAATGGCTTTTAAAGTTGGTCCTTTGTATGGAGTGTTCGAACATGGTTCATGGTTTGGACCGAGTCAATTAACATCTGGTCCTTGGAATCCTGTACAATTTCATTATTGACGCCACAGACCTGACTGTTGAAAATAGTAGAGGAATCCTAAGGTTGGCGTAAGAGAGACTTTGTGTAGATGTTCAACCAGTTAGAGTTAGAGACCAACCCTTGATGATGTAACAGCTGAAGTCAGAGCTGATTTGGTCGGAAATGGATTCCTGAATCTTTTGTTGGATGACCATAGTTGACAGTAGCATGCGCTCATTGTCGGATTGAGGGTTCTTAAGGTGAGAGAAGTCAATCCAAGAAAGCTCATCTAATTGTTGTGTCGCCTTGTGCAAGCTTCTTGTCCTCGACTCTGTAGGTTTCATTCTTTGAGTCCAATAGTAAATCGTTACTCTGGAGCCCATAAGAGCGGTGTCATGCAGTGTAAGGGAAACATCTTAGAGTTGATATGAGGGGTTGGCAAACCCGAGTCCTAGTAGCCTTGGTGAAGGATGTGTTAATATTCTTTATCACATGTAAGCTAGATTTAGATGGCAGTAGAGACATCTTCTTCCTCTGTTCTACATACATGTTCAAGTAGGCTGCAAAGTCTTCTTCCCCCAGGGACATGCAGAAACTACAATGAGTCTCCCTAGTGCATAGTTGAAGGACGCATTATGAACAGACACGCAAGCGGCAGATATCTCAACTTTTAACCCAAATTAGTAAATCAAATTAAAGTTTAAAGCTGAAGTAGAAAAATAAAAGTTATAGTATGAAGAAGAAAGGTAGTCCAAGCAACAAATGTTATTAAAAAGTAATAACTTTGATAGGATGGCTTGGATTATGATAGCACAGACATTTAGGCCAACAACGAAGTTGGCGCAAAAATGAGAGAGTGATGCTTGGTCACTTGCTTCTGGTGCCGCTGCGCGGCTGAGGGGTGCATTAGGGTGAGAGTTTTTCTCTGTTCTTGGGAACACAGCACAGGAGTTTCCACTACCATTTTGGAATGAGATGAGATAAGCAATTAGTATGAATCAGGATGAGGTAAAATTGAAAATTTATGTAACATTATTGTTAATTGTTAATAAAGAATAATTGGTGCTTACTGAATTAACACTTTGCCTCGCCTGCATTTATTGTCACAACCATGTTTGTCTTCAATGGATGTTGTCCATGTCATTATGTGGGGATATAAAAGCTATTTAGGCCTCTAAATCTTATATTGTGTCATGCTATGTAGCATCTACTAACAGGAGCAGGTCGGTCTGACGGGGTGCACATGTCCTGAGAGACCCTACATCTACTGACCTGGTAGTCTGCAGCAGCAGGACTGTCTGACCAGGTGCACATGTCCTGAGAGACCCTACATCTACTGACCTGGTAGTCTGCAGCAGCAGGACTGTCTGACCGGGTGCACATGTCCTGAGAGACCCTACATCTACTGACCTGGTAGTCTGCAGCAGCAGGTCTGTCTGACCAGGTGCACATGTCCTGAGAGACCCTACATCTACTGACCTGGTAGTCTGCAGCAGCAGGACTGTCTGACCAGGTGCACATGTCCTGAGAGACCCTACATCTACTGACCTGGTAGTCTGCAGCAGCAGGACTGTCTGACCAGGTGCACATGTCCTGAGAGACCCTACATCTACTAACCTGGTAGTCTGCAGCAGCAGGTCTGTCTGACCAGGTGCACATGTCCTGAGAGACCCTACATCTACTGACCTGGTAGTCTGCAGCAGCAGGACTGTCTGACCAGGTGCACATGTCCTGAGAGACCCTACATCTACTGACCTGGTAGTCTGCAGCAGCAGGTCTGTCTGACCAGGTGCACATGTCCTGAGAGACCCTACATCTACTGACCTGGTAGTCTGCAGCAGCAGGACTGTCTGACCAGGTGCACATGTCCTGAGAGACCCTACATCTACTGACCTGGTAGTCTGCAGCAGCAGGACTGTCTGACCAGGTGCACATGTCCTGAGAGACCCTACATCTACTGACCTGGTAGTCTGCAGCAGCAGGACTGTCTGACCAGGTGCACATGTCCTGAGAGACCCTACATCTACTGACCTGGTAGTCTGCAGCAGCAGGTCTGTCTGACCAGGTGCACATGTCCTGAGAGACCCTACATCTACTGACCTGGTAGTCTGCAGCAGCAGGACTGTCTGACCAGGTGCACATGTCCTGAGAGACCCTACATCTACTGACCTGGTAGTCTGCAGCAGCAGGACTGTCTGACCAGGTGCACATGTCCTGAGAGATCCTACATCTACTGACCTGGTAGTCTGCAGCAGCAGGACTGTCTGACCAGGTGCACATGTCCTGAGAGACCCTACATCTACTGACCTGGTAGTCTGCAGCAGCAGGTCTGTCTGACCAGGTGCACATGTCCTGAGAGACCCTACATCTACTGACCTGGTAGTCTGCAGCAGCAGGACTGTCTGACCAGGTGCACATGTCCTGAGGCACAAGTTGGACTGACCGGGTCTGCACCTCGTACACCTCCTCTTCCTTCTTGAGGCCCGGGGCCGGCACCTCCATGTTGACCAGCCCTGGAGCAGGGTCCTCCCGGGGCTCCTCCTCCTGCCGCCCCGGCTTCTTCACCTCCACAGGGATGTCCAGCTGCAGGACCTCCTTCAGGCGGTCAATACCAGAACGGTCGCCTTTGGCAATCTTCCCCACTGTGTCTTTAATTTCCTTTATCGTCTCATGATTACGTATGATGTCATCTTCTATTCTTTTGATCTTTATTTCTATTCCATCCAATGCTTGCTGAAAAAAATAGTCTTAATTTGTCATCCAATATTCTCCTTTAGTAGCGAATCAAGTAGGAACCTGTGAATAAATTCTAGTTATGCAATCCAAACACAAAGTTATCAAATAATACATTATTTTATCATTGTCATATGACAACTCAGTAAAATAGTTTGGCACAACACTTACCATATACTTGGATGAGACAGGATCCTTGCGTGCAAGTCCTTTGTGTAAGAACTCATAATTTAGATAAGTTGAAAGACTGGCCAATGCAAATATAGCCAGCATAAAATAGAGGACATTGATTTGTCTCTGATGTGGATTTTTTTTTCTTGGCCTCAGTTGAATGGGCATCTTGCACCCGCTGTATCTGTCCTCGTCATTGGTGAAATATCACTACACACCATGTGTTCCCTGGCAACAAACAACACTGACAGTCTACACCCACCCAAACCGCATTGTCAAGGGTTTGAGAAGGGTTACTGTTTGCTTAACAAAAGTTCAAGGCAGACCCACAAAACACACTTGACAGAATTGTAGAAAAATTTTTGTCAATATTATTTGTCTAATTTCAAATTGGATTGGAATGTACAGATGTGTAGAATGTACATCAGAAATCACTTCTGCCAACGTTGCAAAACTATGCAATGAGCTCATCAATATTAATGAGTTATTCCTTTTATTGAACCATTTCCTGGAAAGGTAATCATGGTCACTTGTATGTGAATTACCTCCCTTGAATGTGTACTACGTCATTGCTTGTGTCCAACCATCAGATATGTAGAATGACCAGTAAAGAAACAGTCACTCAACACTCAAACCTTTTGTATGTTCTTATTGGACCCAATGGTTTCATGCCATGGATATCAGCACATAACAGTCACAGAATTAAGTTGCCTCATGTCCAGACATAATTGTTTGGTTCATACATCAGACAACTTTAAAGAATAGATTCATGGATTACTTTGGAAAAGCAGTGTCATTGTCACTTCCATTAAGAATTGACCATAAGATTCAATTTCAACCAGTGTGCATACCAGTTTTTACTAATATAAACATTTGGCTGTCATTCCATATATGACAAGAAATCCTTCCCAGTCTACACCCTGTACCTGTCTACCCTGGTAACAAACATCACTGACAGTCTACACCCTGTACCTGTCTACCCTTGTAACAAACACCACTGACAATCTACACCCTGTACCTGTCTACCCTAGTAACAAACATCACTGACAGTCTTCACCCTGTACCTGTCTACCCTGGTAACAAACATCACTGACAGTCTTCACCCTGTACCTGTCTACCCTGGTAACAAACATCACTGACAGTCTTCACCCTGTACCTGTCTACCCTGGTAACAAACATCACTGACAATCTACACCCTGTACCTGTCTACCCTAGTAACAAACATCACTGACAGTCTTCACCCTGTACCTGTCTACCCTGGTAACAAACATCACTGACAGTCTTCACCCTGTACCTGTCTACCCTTGTAACAAACACCACTGACAGTCTACACCCTGTATCTGTCTACCCTGGTAACAAACATCACTGTCAGTCTTCACCCTGTACCTGTCTACCCTTGTAACAAACATCACTGACAGTCTTCACCCTGTACCTGTCTACCCTGGTAACAAACATCACTGTCAGTCTTCACCCTGTACCTGTCTACCCTGGTAACAAACATCACTGTCAGTCTTCACCATGTACCTGTCTACCCTGGTAACAAACATCACTGACAGTCTTCACCCTGTACCTGTCTACCCTGGTAACAAACATCACTGACAGTCTTCACCCTGTACCTGTCTACCCTTGTAACAAACACCACTGACAGTCTACACCCTGTATCTGTCTACTCTGGTAACAAACATCACTGTCAGTCTTCACCCTGTACCTGTCTACCCTTGTAACAAACATCACTGACAGTCTTCACCCTGTACCTGTCTACCCTGGTAACAAACATCACTGTCAGTCTTCACCCTGTACCTGTCTACCCTGGTATTAAACATCACTGTCAGTCTACACCCTGTACCTGTCTACCCTGGTAACAAACACCACTGACAGTCTTCACCCTGTACCTGTCTACCCTGGTAACAAACACCACTGACAGTCTACACCCTGTACCCGTCTACCCTGGTAACAAACATCACTGTCAGTCTTCACCCTGTACCTGTCTACCCTGGTAACAAACATCACTGACAGTCTTCACCCTGTACCTGTCTACCCTGGTAACAAACATTACTGACAGTCTACACCCTGTACCTGTCTACCCTGGTAACAAACATCACTGACAGTCTTCACCCTGTACCTGTCTACCCTGGTAACAAACATTACTGACAGTCTACACCCTGTACCTGTCTACCCTGGTAACAAACATCACTGATTTAAACATATTTATTCACAAGGAGTGAACGGGATTGGGGGACAAGTTCTTCCAACTTAGAATGCCCTCTCCCTGGTATTTACAAAATATTCACAATTTCAAATTCAATATATATGCATAAAACATAAAACACTATAGATGAGAGAGAGAGAGAGAGAGAGAGAGAGAGAGAGAGAGAGAGAGAGTAACATTATTGAATGAACAGTTCTTTACACGAATCTTTTAGTTGTACATATATAATGTTGTACTGCCTTAAATATAGCTTCATTTTCTGTAACAACGTGATCTGCATTGCCGTGTAACAGTAAGTGTACATCAATAGGTATGTTATGAACAATATTTTTAAGGCTGTTTAACATAATTTCACGCTGATGACTAAACAATGGACATTCGATGAGATAATGATATGCATTTTCACATGTATTCGAACATGTCCAGTTCGGGTGATCTTTTATACCAATTCTATATAAATCATAGTTCAACTGACTGCACATGTATCTCAGTTTTGTGTGTAAGATATTATATTTTCTCTTTCCATAAGCGAAGTACGCAGGTGACGTGGGGTTGTGCTTTTGTAGCGAATTTTTAAAACAAGAAATCGTAGAATTTCGATCTGATAACGGAATAGAGTTCCACAATCGGATAGACGATGGGTAAAAGGATTCACACGAATGTCTTAGTCTTGTGAGAGGAACACTGATGTTTTCAGAGTTTCTGAGACTGTATGAGTTTTTTGCAGCAACAGTTTTTTGGGTAGAATATCTGTTAGATAGGAAGGGGCCATGTTATGATTAATTTTGAAGAAAAGACAAAGTTTACGTTTCTTTCTACGCTCAACTAAGGGTTCCCAACCAGTTTCGTAATATAATGAATGCCTGGGGGCATATTTAGGTAGACCAGTTACAATGCGTGCAGCTTCTAATTGTAATTGTTCTAATTTCTCACTTTGTCCTTCGGTGCAACCATCCCAAACCTCACATGCGTATTCAAAGTATGGTCTTATGAACATTTTATATATATTGTTAATGGTATTTCTGTGAAGTAGATGTTTGAGTTTTCTCATTGAGTAAATCATCTTGGAAGTTGTTTTAATTATGGTATCTATATGACAAGACCATTTGCCACTGGCTTCAAGTATAACACCCAAGTGCTTATGACTGTTTACAGAGCTGATTTCTTTTCCGTTGAAATATAGTTTTAGACCTCCGTTGTTGTCTTTGCGAGAGAATAGAACCGATTTGGTCTTATCGGGATTGTAAGTTATGAGCCAAAGTTTCGCCCATTTACTTAAGATTGCTAAATTTGAGTTTAAGGAACGTTCCAGTACACTTTTATCATTGGATGACATGCCAATCGATGTATCGTCGGCAAACAGTCTTGTCATACAGTCTAATTTATCAGGAATGTCATTTACATAAACAATAAAGAGTAAAGGACCAAGCACGGATCCCTGTGGCACGCCAGCCTTCATGTATCTTGGTTTGGATATTTCCCCATTCACAAATACGCTTTGGCTACGATTACTTATGTAACTGCTAATCCATTTTAACAATTGGCCTTTTATACCATACCTCTCTAATTTATACACAAGCCCACTGTGCCATACACGATCAAAAGCTTTTGATACATCACAGAATACAATACAATAGTTTTCTTTGTTATCTAACGCTGTACAAATTTGGTGGTAAAGTTCTATTAGTTGATGGACAGTTGAGTGACCAGCCTGAAACCCAGATTGGTACTTATACAACAATTTGTTCTCATGAAAGTAATTATATAAATGTTTGAACACAACTCTCTCAAACAATTTTCCTAAACAACTAATGAGTGATATCGGTCTATAATTAGAAACGATAGTGTGATCACCTTTCTTAAATAATGGCATAACGTTTGCTTGTTTCCACACTGATGGAAATATACTTGATTGTAGTGACATATTGAACAGTAAACACAATGCTTCGCTTATAGAATATACAGTTTCCTTTAATAATTTATGACAAATTTTATCCGGTCCGGAGGCTTTATTAAGAGGCAAACATTGTATTATGTCTTCAATTTCCTTTTTAGATATGATTATGTTGTTCATCTCTGTCTCTGTACGAAATGTGAAGTCGGGCATAGTTGTTCTTGTATCGTGGACATCACATATAGATTGAAAATATTTATTCAGTTTCTCTGCCTTTTCAATATCAGTAAAAATTGTCGGGTGCTCGTCCGTGTCATACTGTTTAAGAGCGGCTATGTTGTCAGCTGAGCCAGAGTTCTTCACAACATAACATAAAACTTTCCAGTAAGAGGGTTTGTTTTCTGCATGCAATTCTGATAGCAATTCATCGAGGTTTGAGTAAAAATGTTCTTTAGCGTGACATTTCATGTTATTTACTTTGTTCCTCTGATTTTTATAGGCCCGAATGTCTTTTTCCTTTTTACTTTTTCTAGCCTTCTTTTTTAATCTATCTCTTTTCCTGGATTCTCGTCTTAAACTGAAATCATACCAAGGTTTGTCCTTTGGACGAATGGTTACTACTTTGGTTGGAATGCATATTTTAACATATTTATTCAAGTATTTGTAGAACAGATTACATGCTTCATCAACATTTGAATTTTGATTAAATAATTCATTCCAGCAAGTATTTTCAATGAGCGAATTGAGTTTATCAAAGTCACCGTTTTTAAAACATGAAATTTCTCTTTTATATGCTAATTTTGTTCGCAAACCAGTGTCTATTTCAATGTAAGTTCCCCTATGGTCGCTAATTTTACTATCAAAATCAATTACACCACTGTCGATGACTTTTATATCTTCACTGATAATAATAGGATCCAATAAACTACTGGTATGGTTCGTAATTCTGGTAGGCTCGGTTATGATATTGTGTAGATTTTTCCTATTTAGTAATTCATTTACGTTTAAGCTCCTGGACAATAACATGTTTTCATTTATGTCACCAACAATAGTAATCTTGCACGAAATATCCAGGGCATTTTCAATGCTATCATCTAAGCGAGTCCAAAAGTTCACTGAATTATG